CAATGGACTGGTGACCTGACCAAGGTGTACACCCATAGACAGCTGGAGGTAGGCACCAGCACCCCTCGTGACCCCAAGCTGGGATAAGCATGACAGAAAATAATGGATAGATGGGATTTTTTTTAATTTTGTTTTTCAGATCAATTCTCTTCACTTCTGGAGGCGCGTTTTCCTCTGTAGTAATGAACAAAGATGTATTTCTATTCTTAATGGACATTTAATCAATTAGAGTACAGTAATTTCAGACAGAAAAACCTACAAAGAAGTGCTTTGTTAATTTTTTTTTATGTATTGAACCATCCTTCCATTTTCTCCAGCTTATACCATCAGGGTCACGGTGGGGCCGGTGATTATCTCTGGCAGTTTATGGGAAAAAGGAGGGGTTATAGCCTGGACAGATTGCCAGTCTGTCGCAGTGTAACACACAGTCACACACCTGAGGACAATTTAAAGATCCTATCAGTCTAACTGTCATGCTTTTGGACAGTGGAAGGAAGATGGAGTACCCATAGAGAATGCATGCATGTACAGGGAGAACATGGAACCTCCATATGTGAGGAGCCTTTAGGTTGTTATTATTATTTTTTCTTTACAGATATATTGATCCAGAAACTATTTTTATGCAGCTAATCTGAGCTTTAATTTGGGAACATTGAGTCAACAAACATGTGGGCCAGATAAAGCCACCCTAGCCACCAGAGCAATCAGAGAAAGCTAACAGAATCTGTGGCGAAGAAAACAAGATGCTGTCGTTTGGAGCAGATTGATGAGGGGGGGAGAAAGGGAGTGATGGAGGGATAAAAAAAAAAAATCCAAATCTCCAGTTCAATGCTTAGAGGTTTTAGGTAGGTCAGTGACCCACATCCCAGTGCCCTCTGTAAGACCCCAACACAGGGGAAACACACAGGCTGCATTGATGGGATAAGTTGTTCAGATTCACTTAGATGAAAGGTTGTGGTTAAAGGACAGTGGGTGAGCTTGTGTGCGTGATGGTGTGTGTTATAAAGGATGAAAGAAAAAGAGATCAATGTGTTGCTTTGTGTCCAGAGTTTAAGATGGCAGAAAACGACTTGAGCCTGGCTTCACAAACACAAAATAATCACCTTCAGCAGAATTTAAGACTTTTAGTCCGATTTCAAGTATAAAAAAGGAGACAACATCACTTTTAACAACAAACAATGAACCTGGCTTTTAGGTCTATAACCTGAGTCAGCTCAAGGGCACATTGGTGTCACTTTATTGCAGCTAAATGCAGAATGTATGTAATCAAAAAGTGTGTACACAGGAGGAGACGACTGTTCACATTAAGAGGAAAAACAAGAACAAAGTTAACAAAGTCAGGATATTTGATACTTTTACCAACCACACAAGCACATGACAAAACATTCAGCCTTAAAGATTTTAGCTCGTTGCTAATTAGCTTATAGCTATTAGCATTAGCTCATTGAATTTAAGTTTATTCTCATATAAGGAAAACAATCTCCACTAAAGATTTTTCAATAAAATAATATCAAGTCACCTACAGTATTCATAAACATAACACTTTAAACTGTGAGGTTCCAAAATGTAAGTTTTTTTGAATTTTTTTTAACATAGTTACTTTTTAAGAAGCATATTAAGAATTTATTTCACTGTACTTTGGCATCAGCAGCAGGACTCTCATGATGATTTTACACTTTAAAAGTCATTGTAATAGCAATCTCACAGTGTAGGCCTACTGTGGAAAAGCTGTCATTTCACCCTAAATTGGTGGCTAACACTAGCGCTAACGCTGTGCTCAGACTGAACAGGTTTTAGGTGTCAGATGTGCAGAGTTTACATGCATCAAAGAATCGCTTAAAGTGTTTTGAATATTAGCCGTGGTGCATTGCAAGCTTTGAAGTAGATGTGGGAGCTGGAGGAGAGAGAGTCACTGCATCCAAGCACTGATCACTGCTTCTGCAGACATGTAAAACCAGGAAAAATACATGAAAATGAACAAAAATATATATTTAAAGGTGGTAAACTTCATTAGCCTTACAATGAAAACCATTTTTTCATGTACAAATAAAGTAGAAATTGCTCTGATGACTCCAGTAAACGTTTCTTACTGAACTGTGGTAAAAGAGTTTATAATTAATACCTATTTCAACTTGAGATGTCAACACTTACCTGTGTAACGTTTAATTTTATATACTCATCTTTTTGAGCTTTTACGACATACCTGAACAACACTTTATTTTCACTTTGAGCTCCTACAAATGGCAGCAGGAAATCCTAAAACACAGATTACATTTTGAGGTTTACTTTAAAAGAAATGTTTAATCATTCGTCAGTGTTCCTACTCCTATAGCTTCATAGCTGGTCTGTGTTAGCCACAGCCATTTCTGCTTTCTGGTTTCTCCTCTTGCTCTGATCTCCTCTGCTCCTGTCCGAGCTCCAGAGCTCCTCCTCACATTGTCTCTTGGAAAATATCTGAATCAACTATCAAAATTGCAAGATCTGCAAAAAAAAAAAAAAGTTGACGGGTGATTGCAATCTTTATTTTTTCTCGTTTAATCATCAGCCTAAATATATTTTACTGCTCTGTTGAAAGGCGTAAGGGTAGCACACATGGTGCACTGTGGGGGACTTATCAATTAATGCACCTCAGTTGGTGCCTTTCACAAACATTAGATTGAGCTGAGGTGAGCAGATTGAGGCATTGGATACATTTCTGAGACTTTTTTAATGCTTCTGAACAGAAAACATTATTTAAATGGCTGGTGGGTATTTCACCTCTAAGAGTCAAACTATAGCCAGACATTGGTGTTGTGGAAAATTATACAATCTTAATAGTTTTTAATATATACCACAGATAGAAATGTTGTCCTGTCTCAGTTTTTACTGTTGTAGAAACATTTTTGTCTCAGTATTGTTATGATTACTGGGAGGAGGATATGACTCAATGTCTCGAAGAGAAGGTGTTGCATCAGCCTTAGTGTTGTCATGTACTGACTTCTTCAATTCTATTAAAGGGCTGTTATCAGAGCTTTTCTATGGATCATGTTGATCTTTTGGTCAGTAATAACCCAAGTTGTCCAGTGCCTGCCCCTTTTGGGAAAAAAGTTAAGAAAGTATAAGTCAGGCAGACCTACCTGCTTTATACCCCAGCTGCAAAACATAACACTCAATGATTTGAAAAAATGTTGTTCTAGCAAAGTAACTTATCTTACTTGTGTGTTAAGGCATATAAAAATGTCTGGTTAAAGATAAAATAGCATTGTTTTTGTTTGATTGAGACTATCAGGAATACCCAGTGATTTATGTTTTGTAATGACTCAGAACAGAGGGACCCAACATTCAGGCAAGACAGTGGGATAACTTAAAAAATGTTTATCAAAGCGGCAGCGCCTAAGAGAGGCAGGTAACTCTGGTGAGAGGAAACACAAGTTAGTGACCACGAAAACCTGACGTAGGATGATCTGAACACGTGAGTAATTAACCTGGTTTAGAGTTCAGACTGTGCCCAGAGAAAAAGGTCGATACAAGCCGGTCAGCTAACAAGACACAGGGCTTGCAGCACAGAGATCCTGGCGCCAAAGCCTTGAAGGACACAGAACTGACAGGAGATCAGATCTGAGCAGATGACAGAGGAAGGCAGGAGGCAGATCCAGGTTCAGTCCACAGTAGAATTCCAACAGAATCCAAAGACAGGTCAGCCAAACAGATCAAAACTGGGTCAAACAAGCTGAAAGGTTGGAAGAGAGAAACGGGTCAGGATCAGGTAATCAGAACACTATTAGTAACTCTCACTAAAGGCTCAAAAATAATCTGGCACTGATGGCTGTTTAAACAGAAGCAGGAGCAGGTGGATCAGATGAGCAGTGATGAGAAACAGGGTAGTTTTAGACAGGTGAATGAAATGAGCTATTAAGCCAGCCATCAGTGCCAGGATCATGACATGTTTAGCACCAGGCTAACAAAGATCCTCCTCATGTCAAACAATGATATACATTCCAATAATATTTATTAGCGATTTTTTTATCAGCATTTTCACTAGTACAATTATATCAGAGGAACTCCTCCCCAAGGTTAGCTATGCCACACCAGATGGCTCTAAGCAATACAGAGAAATACAATTTTACATATTTTAACAAACTAAAGAACCAATTTTTTTACATTTTTCTGGGACCTATTTTTGTGGTGCTTTAAGGGTTTAACATACTGCTAGCCTGGCCAGCAAATCTGCTAACACTGTATACATGGCATATCCTAATAAAGGTGTTCAATGACATCAGAATAAATTCAACTGTGGAAGAACCACAAAGCTGGTATTACTGGACCTCAATTCAGCATTTGAAACAGTTAACCCGGTACCTGGGGAACCGGGTTGTCCTTACTGGTCAATCTCTGGACTGGTTTAAATTCTACCTGATGGACAGGGACTTATTTGTCAGTCTGTCACTTTTCATCAGAGGCCACTTAAATCACAAATGGCGTTCCCCAAGGCTCCATCTTAGGGGCCCTTTTATTTAATATCTATATGGTCCCCCCCCCCAACTCCGATAACAATAAGATAGGTAATCATGTCCTATATGGACCAGGCTCACATACTGCTACCTGTGAAATCTTCAAAAGGGTCTGAGGGTCTTCTGTGTATTCCAGACATTACAAGGATATAGAAACAGTTTTATCAAGGCGGCCTAACTCCGAATTCATCAAAAACTGAAGGTTGGTCAGGCCCCCTACTGAGGCTATGGGGTACCTCTCTCGTCATTTATTGACACAAAAGGTGCATGAGAGGTTTTGGTCAGAACTTGCAAGAGTAGCACTAATCCATTCCTCACCCTATCCTCTAAACCTGAACATTAGTATGGGCCTTACTGTACCTTCCTAAAGCTACAAACAACAACTTTGTAGGCTAAAATCTTAGTCCCAGGTGTGACACAATGTCAGCAACCCACGGTGAGAAGGTCTGAACGATATCTAAATTTGATTCATGGTAAAACTTGTTTTCATTGTTCCCATTGCCTCTTTAGGAACTCTACATACTGCATGAAAGTGTCCATGTCGATGACTGTGGAGGAGAGCGATGAGGGGAAATGCTTTAGCAGCAAAATCCGGCATCTGGAGATGGCCGAGGTAACCCACAGCAAAATGATTACCTGTCCTGATATAGAGGACTATCTGGCTCCCTACAAACAACCGCAGATGACCTGGTATAAGGTAAGGCACAATGACCGAATGGCATGGCATATCTACCCAGAGACTGCTTCTCTGATATTGGTGCTGTTTCTTTCTTCTGTTAGGAATGTGAGCGAGTGGAATGGAGGAGCTCTGTTACTGTTAACACCACACATATTTGGATTCCCGAGGTGGAGGAGGGCGACGGGGGGAACTACACCTGTGAATTGCAGTATGGATCAAGACTGGTGCGACGAACAACGCAACTCAAAGTAACAGGTAGGAAACCGCATGGCTGGATGATCCCGAACAAGGAAAAATATACAACCCAATGTCCTCTTATAATGATGCTGGTGAAGATAAAACAGGACTGCATTTAACGTGAAGTGGTAACTAGTCTAGTCTGGCCGGTCATTATTCGTGCATACTGTTGCAATCAAATGGAATTAGAATGTCAGAAAGATAATAGCACAGCTACATGGTAGCCGGGGCAGCACGCAGCCAATTAACATATTTCATTGGCACAGGCGGCAGTAGGAAATAGTTAAAGATGTGTACCTGGGGTTAAAAAGTTATTATTTGGTATTAGTTCAAATTTCAGCTGTCCCAGCATGCACTGCGGCAGCAGCAGATTTCAATGAAATTCTCATTTGAAGTTAAAAGTTCTTTCTGTTGCTGTTGTTCAATAAAAGTGTTTTTTAAGATCATTTGAGCGAGAATATTATAAGCGTGTCTATATGGTCCATTTACCAGTTTAATGCGTGATAAAAAAACTAATTCCGAAGTTGAGAGGGCCACGATAACAATCGGACCTCCGAGGGTAATGGCAGCCAGGGCTAACGTTAGCCCGTCTGCAGCAGCCCTCTCTCTGCATAGCTGTGTGTGAACTACCGCTGGCTCTGATGGGGATTTTTTGTTTTATTTGGTAAAATGTTCATTTGATTTGTGTTTATCTGACTGTGTTCATTAATATTCCCCTACTAAATGAAAAAAGCAAGAATTTATTATTATCTAGAGACTATTAATAATGGGAGGAAATGCAGCTCCAGACGAGCAGAGCGTGTGGTGACGTCATCAGTACGCTTCTGTTCCTACTGACCCAGATTTATGCTGCGTACTCCCGTTCTCCTAAAGTCCATACTTTCCTGTGTTCTTCTCAAGAACATACTTGGTGAAAACACAAGTCGGTACTCTCATTCTAGTGAATTGAGAAACGGCGTATCTCAATTTCACAAGTCTGCTCTAATGCATGCTGGGTAAAAAGGGCGGGGCGAGAACAACCCTGGGGCTTTGTTTGTTCTCGCTCTTCTTGTTCTTGTGAATTGGAGCAGTACTAGGGCTGAGGCTGTAGACCTTTTTCGAGTACACGAGCACATGAGAACACACAAGTACAAATATTGAGAAACGGCCATCTTAGCTCTAAAAATTGCAGAAAAGCATTGTTAACTTATGCGCCTGCCTCCCGCACTGTGAATGTTCCAGCCTTTTTTAGGCCCCGTCCACACGAAGTCAAAACGAACACNAGGGCGCACCGCACCATAGGGCGCACCGCACATTTTGAGGGAAAAAAAGACGTTTAAGTGCGCCTTATAGTCGTGAAAATACGGTATATATATATATATATATATATATATATATATATATATATATACCCCGGTAATACCATGCTGTTGTTCAATAAAAGTATTTTTTAAGATCATTTGAGCGAGAATATTATAAGCGTGTCTACAGTATATGGTCCATTTACCGATTTAATGCATGATAAAAAAACAAATTCCGAAGTTGAGATGACCACGACAACAATCGGACCTCCGAGGGTAATGGTAGCCAGGGCTAACATTAGCCTGTCTGCAGCAGCCCTCTCTCTGCATAGCTGTGTGTGAAGGACCGCTAGCCTGATGGGGATCTTTTTGTATTATGTGGATAAATGTTCATTTGATTTGTGTTTATCTGACTGTGTTCATTATCATTCCCCCACTAAATTAAAAAAAGTAAGAATTTATTATTATCAAGAGACTATTAATAATAGAAGCAATGCAGCTCCAGACAAGCAGAGCGTGTGGTGACGTCATCAGTACGCTTCTGTTCCAACTGACCCATATTTATGCTGCGTGCTCCCGTTCTCCCCTAGTCCATACTTTCCTCTGTTCTTCTCAAGAACATCGTGGTGAAAATACGAGTCGGTACTCTCATTCTAGTGAAGTGAGAAATGGCGTATCTCAATTTCACAAGTCTGCTCTGATGCATGATGGGTAAAGAGGGCGGGGCGAGAACAACCCTGGGGCTTTGTCTGTTCTCGCTGTTTTTGTTCTTGTGAATTGGAGCAGTACTAGAACTGAGGCTGTAGACGTTTTTCGAGTACACGAGCACATGAGAATGCATAAGTACAGATATTGAGAAACAGCCATCTTAGCTCTAAAAATTGCAGAAAAGCAGTGTTAACTTATGCGCCTGCCTCCCGCGCTGTGAATGTTCCAGCCTTTTTTAGACAGCAGAGTAGTGAGCTTTACCAGACTGACTTACACCCCTTAATGTTAGCCTAGCTGGCCAGGCATGGTTTTAAATGCAAACCAACAGGTTTTAAAATGAAGAATTCCAGTTTAGATGGAGGATTCCTTTAAAGGCATGAAGTCTTTATTACATCAGCACATTTATAAATAAACACATCATGGACTCCAACAGAAAGGATATATTCAGCTAGGTATCAGCTAGGTATGATCCAAGAAACAGGACAAAAAAACATAATTCACAAAACACAAAACACATGACACTTCTGAAACCTGAACCTGTGGTATGAACTAAAGAGAATAAAGCATTGGGGAAAAGTCAAAACTGCAAATGACAGAGAAAGGATATGTAAGAAGATGGCTTAGAAGTTCTTCTTGTTCCCAAAGCAGGGTTTCATTCATGACTGAAAGATGTTATAACACTTATGCTAACACTGGCTTTATTAAAAACACCTCCTAACACTGAATTTTAACCTCTAAATAAACATATTTAAACTCAAGGTCATTTATTTCAACAGCTTTTAACCCTTCATCCATGCATGTATGTAAGGATTATATATGATCAGCATTTTTACAAGCTAAAAAGAATGAAATGAACCTTTTGTACGAACAGCTCCCCCCCCTTCTCTGAGCATGTAACAGCTCTGCTAACTCCTGAGCATCCATTATGCTGACAGACGACTGGACTCAGCAATGCTCCATTCATCATTACTGCAGCATTTTTTTAAAGTTTCTTTAAGCACACTTTACAAAAGTGCCCTAAAGCTGTTCAGAAGTTTTTTTTGTTCCGGTCTTTTCCGTAATTTAGTGGCTTAAAACATAAAATCCTTCAAGCTTCATTGAGTTTGGATCATTTTATTCTGATGTGGCAGTAACTTCTGCACTCTGTTGTTTTGCTCTTTTAGGTGCATTTCAGGGACATGGTTGCCTTTATCTTGTCGCTGTGCCATATTATTGGTTAATCTGAGCAATAGCTTAAAATATAACAGGTACATTCACTTCATAAACATTTTTAACAGTGTGGTTCTTATAAATCTAATCTCCTCAGTGCTCCAGTTATAATTCAGACTGGCAGATTTCCTCAAGTGCTTTAAAGTGCCATGATTAGCACTATGTTAAAGCAGGTACGGCTGGAACAATGTCCTTTTAGAGTGTGCTCTGAAACATTTCCCGCTCCATTTCACCAGACTTTTTTTTTTTAAATCCCAGAGCCATAGCCAGTGCCGTTTTCATCCAGCACTTTGCGCTGTGCTTCACATGCGCAGCTACCTCCTGCAAAGCAGAGCTGACATGAACAGGCAGTGCTTAATTTTTCAGCGAATCATTCACAACACTGCCTGGGTTTTCCTTCATCACTGCAGAGGAGAAAAGAGCAAAAAAAACTCACTGGTTCCTTTATATTTTCTCACTGAACTTTCTTTACATACATTTAAATGAATTTTATTAGTTTGGTTGTTAAAAGTATTCTATGATCCATATAATGTCCAGCATTGTTATCAGGGAGGGTTTTTATTCCTACATACAGAACTGAATGAGAGAAGACAGTATCATTTGGTGTTTTATCCACAACTCAAACAGAACAAAGAGATAAAGAAGTAAAAGGTTTATCTGCAAGAGAACATAGGTTGGTTTTAAACACATAGAATCTTTGATTGTCATAAATACAAAGAAAATCAAATTTTGCTGATGTACAAGAATATAATAGTTATTACTTTTAGATATGGAATGAATACATACACTGTAAAACCTCTTCTACAGCAGTGTTTGTCTTGGGGGGTTGTGCCTCCTAGTGGCAGATGGCCGCTCACACTGAGTCTGGTTCTGCTGGAGGTTTCTTCCTGTTCTTCCTCTCCACTGTCGCTACAAGCATGCTTAGTGTGAGGGATTGCCTTTGAGTCAATGAGTTGATGCAATCAACTGGTTTTCCTTAGATAGAAAAACTTTGAACCAATTTGACTGTATGATCTGGTTGAATTCTAATGTGCCTTAAGATGACATGTGTGGTGAATTGGCACTATATAAATAAACTGAATTGGATTGTAAAAGTAAACTAGAGTGTCGTTTATATAAGATTTCCTTTTTTTAATTAACATTTAATTGGGCAAAGTAACAACTACAGTGTTGCTTAAGCTATACGTATATAGAAAAACATGATGTGTTACTTTAACAGGTACCAAACTTATGGTAAAAGTAATAGCTAAAATCTTAACTCCCTCTGTAATAATAACTGGCGTCTCGTTTTCCAGCTGGTCTTCGGCTCTTCACAACCACTATTGAGCATTTTTGCTTTGGATAAACTTTACAAGCACAAGTGCACTCTCACAAACAACTACAGGTGCTTGGCTCCAGGTACTTAGAGATTCACTTCCATACAGAAAGCCCATATTCTTATCTTCAGGTAACACACAGTACATGTCAGATTAAATAATACTACTTATACTTCAGTGATGGTATCAAAGTGCTACTTGATTGTACCTCTTATACTGTATCCGCTGGTTGTGTTGTTCTTTTAACATCTCTCTTTGCAGGTGATTTTATTTATCATTGTCTCCCTTTATCTCCTCTTTCTTTTATCTTTTCTCCTTTTTCCTGTTTTTTCATTCCTGCTCTACTTTCTCATGGCAGAGTCCATATAATCTGTAATACTCCCTGCATGAATTATAATAAAGCTATTTATATGCATAAAGCTGGTATTACTGGACCTCAATTCAGCATTTGAAACAGTTAATCACTACATTTTATCAGAGCACCTGGGGAACCGGGTTGTCCTTA